GTATGGGGAAGTAAGACGCAGCTGATGTCGTGTAAGCAGATGAAGTTCCAAAATTACTGTTTTTCAACTACCAACAAGCTAGACCTTAAGATGGAGGGGAAGGTGGCTGTATCAGTTCACAATAACAATAAACCCTCAGTTGCTGATGGGGTGAAGTTACAGTAGCATTTACCGATTTGTATAGGGCCTGGTGCATTAAGGAACGGCAAATACTTTACGTGCACGTGGTTCTGTCGTTCCTGTGCAATCTTTGGGGTGGAAGAGTGAAACCATTAAAATGGCACAACAGAGTCTAGTGACTAGTAATGAATACAAAAGCACAAATCTATTATGCCTGCGCTTTAGGTAGGCAGAGCGCAGGTAATTTGGCAAAAGTATCAAGGCAGATGGCCCTACCTCTGTTGAAATAAAAAAGATGCTTTGAGAGCTTTAAAGTAAAAAATGACCAGTAAGTGCAACTTTTGTATCTCACCCAGAAGCCTAGACATTGCTGCATCTTCCTCTCCTATCTCAAAATTTTCTGGTCAAACACTGACCACCTGAACCTGGTGGTTTGGGGGTGGTGAACCTTACAGTGACAGAAAATAAATTCAAAGGATGATAACCCAGGGCTCCAGAGCCTCAGGGTGAAAGCTCTGGTCTCCTCCTCACAAAATACTGATGCCATGTAAAGGGGGAGGATGGTGCATCATAAAACATCCCCTGAAAGTAGAACGTAAATGTGGGTGCATATTTCATGATGAACAGTGTTAACTTTCCAAACAGTCGCCTCTTTTATGGCCAGCAGCTAATATTAATTATTTAGCAGAACATTTATTTATACACTGAAAGCTAAATGCAATCCTTTCAGTGGAAGTCTGGCAGAGTACAGGTTGCACTAAGTAGCTGTGGATAGACCTTCAGAAGGATATGTTTCATGCATAGCTTTGTTCTTGAAAGAATTTATCACTGTTGTCTGCTGTATGCCTCTAACAATTTATATGTATAGGAGATTAAAACCAAGTAATTAGTAAAACTTCAGCCATATAGATGCATCAATTCTGAACACTAGCTGTGTGTATTTCTCAGCGTACTTCTGTGGGCCATGACAGGAGGGCAAATGTTCCTCTCACCTCATGGCTGCTTAGAGCCTAACTCTGAAGTTGCAGGCTTGTCCTAACTAAAATTCTGCAATAGCGACCTTGCGTGCAGCAGCATGGACCTTGCAAGCTCGCTTATACTGTGCTCTGGGAAAAACACATCAGCAACTACGTGTATGCAAATTTTAAATTGCTGTGTACATCATGCTGACTGTACTGGAGCTGTGCTACAGAGTGCCTTGTTTTATCACGTTTGAGGGCTAAGCAGAGGAGGAAAGGAACTCACACGGCAAACTTTGTGATATGAAGAAGCAGAGAACAGAAAGACTCTCCTAGCTCATGAAAAGCAAAACATAAATTCAGAAGGCTTTCCCTAAGTAAGCCAAGTAGAGTTTTTATTTCAGCCAACTTCTAAGTAAGAAAATGCAACCCCTTTCTAGTTGCTGCTTTTTTTATTAAAAAACAAACCCCCCTGCTCTGACTCCTATGCCCATATTTGACCTAGTTTCCCAGAGCTGTTAAGAGCATGGGAGTGGGAATTCATTTGCTCCACTTGCCTGCACTTGGGGAAAGCAGTTGTGACCCTTCAAGTAGTCAGAAGGATGGAAATATGTGAAAATGTAATTTTGAAAGGAGCAGAGAAGTATTTAAATCATCTCATCACAATACATTACTTGTGGTGCCAATGCGTTTTCTTCATCAAATCCCGACAAGGTTTCTACAGTGTTGTGCTGTTACCATGTGATTCTGGTAGCGTTACTATTTAGATGAAATATTATTCATTTTTATAGCAACTGTTATATTTGAGAAGAATCTGTGATACCATTGTAATTGTTATTACTGACAGTAGTTATAATAAATGCTTTGGAGTGATGTGCATGGCTTTCCTTTTCTTCCAGTAGTTGCTTTTTGGGGGTTTTGTGTGTTGTGTGTTTTTTTTTTTGTTGATAATAGTTCAAACAATTTAAATAGTAATATAAATGAAAATGTCTGTATTTGCACGTAGCACCCTTTGGGGTGGCTTTCACTTCATGAAAGGCACGACTTTAACATCTCAATGGGAAAAGTAAACTTGCTGCTGCGATATGAGCATTCTTCAGTCTTTTTCACAACACAAGACAATGCTCTGAATGAACTCCAGCACAGCAGCTGGCCTCCTTTTCCTGTAGTCCGGCTTCTCAGCCCTGGCTCCCTGCCAGGGGCTGGTTTGCCGCCTGTCTACTTCGGTGTCCCACCACTGCCTCCTAGGTTTTCAAAAAAGGCATCTGTTAAACTGCCACACTAAACTATATACTCTTTAATCCTTGCAAACTGTTTTAAAACTGGGCCCCCCTCACCTTGGGAAGTGCAGAGAGCCCTCAGTTCATCTTTAGCTTGGGGCCTGATTCCTTAAATGACTATACACAGACTGGGTAAACTGCAAGCTTTCTGCACTATTCTGAATTGCCCTCTCCTTCACTCACCCAGACCCAGGCTTGAAAGGTTTTGCTGTTTTAGCCCAGGGTTTCTTTTGCGCAGACAGGTCCATTTTGCAGGTACGGAAAGCAGTTTCTTGTGGTGCCTAGGAAGCTGAAGCACTGTGAAAGCTTTGAGTCAAACACTTGACGGAAGCACTCCTCAGTGTACACATAGCAACTGAAGCTCAGGCAGCCCTATGGGCAGAGAGGCAGGCAAATCAAAACTCTGGGCTAAATCAGAAAGATTTGGAACAAAACTGATCTTTTTGGTTAAGAGATCATGCTATACTTTTATTGCTTGTAGAAAAATGAAATGAGACTTTTTTTGGTGGTATAAGGTTATACATTGATCATGTAATTTTTGTTATCTAATTGGAAATTAACAGTCAGGACTTGCTAGTAAGTCATCAGCATTTACTTTGATAGGCATTGCCATGGTTTTGCAACCTGTGCGCATGTTTTCCTTAAAGGATTTCATTATACCTCTGAGAATTCCTGTACTGCAGACTATTTAAAAAAAAAAAGTCTTTACTATTAGTAAAATTTATCTTCATCATACTGAGTGATAGCTGGACTCTAGAGAAGCTCATGATTCCCTGCATGCTGCCCAACCAACAGGGTTTGATCAATGCCATTACAAAAACCAATATAGCAGATATCACAACCTCTAGGCATCCTTAAAGTTTTAATAGGCGTTTCAGAACTTATAGTGCGAGTTAAGGGTGCATTTGGACAGAAATACAAGTCAATATATATGTAGGTGGTCAGTAACTCAAGCATCCCTATCTGTGCTTAAATGTAATGCTCTGGATTTGGCTTACTCCAATAAAATGAAAGATACAGAGAGGAGCACTTCTTTATGCGTTACAGAAAACAGCGGTGTCAACATGACATCAAGAATACTGCTGCTTTGATTTCTGAGGCTTTCAGACATTAGTCATTCATTATGAATCAAAAAATGGCCACGATCCTAAGAAATGACAGAAAACTAATACATAATCTTAAACTTCTGCATGGAGTAATGCCATTAGGAACATCTAATCTAATTGAGCAGATCATACTTGAATTGATAAGGTTCAGAGAAAAACTAGAAGCCAAGAATTCCCTTAGTTAATGCAACTTGGCAAAGTTTGTTTGTCTGGGGTTTTTTTGCTCTTTTTTTTCCTCCTCCCCTTCAGAGTAGCACTTAAGAAAGCAAGTCAGACAGTGCCACTAGGCTGATGGTAAAAATGTGAAGTATACAGACATGATAGAGAAGCACCTGGCAATATTACCAACTACTTAAACTTTGTAAGCATGCAAATTTTGATTATTTTTCCACAAGTTGAATATCTTATAGTAGGAGGAGGATCATTATTAAAAAGTCCTGAAGAAATTGGGTGAGAATTACTTGCTATTTTTATCTCTTGTTCTGATAACATTCAGAGTATACAGGTAGAAAGAGCAGAATAACAAGCTACGCTAGATAGGCCAAATTCTGATATATTTATTCATAAGGAGGGAGGAGGGTCTTTTCAATATAGTTAAGAGCTGCAAAAGTTAATAAAAAATGCTGTTGTGGTAGATTCCTTGGGGATGAGGGAATTAGAAAATGAGCGTGGCTTTTGTGTGTGTGTGTGTGGTTACAACAGTGTAGCGCTTGTAGGAAGAGACTTATTCACCTCTGAACAATTCTCCTTTGAATGTCTATTCCCAGCAGCAATGACTCGGTGTGTCAGCTGTATGACAGAAATGCTGGGCTCCCTGTCTCTAGTAATCTGAAGAACAAATACTGATTCCTGTAGTTTATCTCCAACTACCTAAAACAACCACTGCTTCCACACTGAAAATGATAACAATGTTTTAAATGTTGCTGACAGATGCTGTTTGGATACCAAACCACTGGAAAAGAACATATTTGCAGATCTTGGTTTCCTCACAGCATAGTTATTTCCACTTTAAACAGTGCATGTTTTATCCACAGGAAGCTTTCACATTGTCATTTGAATGTGCTTGTTATGCTTAGCTTTTACTACTAGATAGTAGCAAATAAAAGCAAGGTATATGGAATATATTAAAGAAGAATTGCCATCTTATCCTCTTCTCCATGCATAACTTCTAGTGTCCTAACTTCTGTGTTCTTTCACATATTTAGTCAGACAACTATTTCCCCTCAGAGGACATGCATCCATTTATATTCAGGGCACTTAAGCATCGCAAAGATGATCTCAAACTTTCAAATAATCCTTTCAATTCCAGACTAAAGGCAGCTTCTTGAAGTATTTGAGATTATATATATATATATATATATGCCTAGAACTTAACGATACATATATATATATTTTACACACTGTGTACGTTATACCTGTTCAAGAGTTGTTCTCTTATAGCTGAGTACATGTACTGTCTGGAACAGCAGTATAAACATACACCCAGAAGTACAGGCTCATGTAGCAGTATGTGCAGAAGCCAAACAATAGCTTACCTAGGGAAGAATTTCTTTTCCTAATGTGCAGGAAAGACATCTGCTATTCAAATCTCTTCACGTGGCTCCAGGCAAACTACCGAGAGTTTTCAATCCGTATCAGCTGTCTGAACGGTATCCCGGGAAGGCTCCTCTTGCGCCAGCCCCCAGTAACTGAACTCTTACCAGCATAGTCACATCTTATTTATACCCAGACTGTCCTTCTCAAAACAAACAGGCAGCTGGAATGATTCAAACCTCTGTTCAGCTCACCGGCAAAATGCAGCTTCCTCCTTGGACGCGAGCATTACGCCAGGGAGCATTCAGAGAACAGCAAAAAGGCTATGAGAACTATTTAATCACCCGAATAGCAGCTGCTCCTGTTACTGCTGCTGGTGCTGCTGCCGCTGTGCCGCCTGCTTAGCTGTAGCCAGGCTCCCTCTCCCTCATATCTACACAAGTACTGAGGCGGCTTTGCGGGATTATGATTGGCAGAAGCAGCCCGTTCCTCTAGCTAATCAACCCCGAGACTTTGAAGGACTCGGAGCTGCTCTGATGTCATTCCGGCAGGGGGATGCTCCACGCGAGCGTGCCACGGTGGAGGCTAATTCGGTGCCCAGCTGCGTGCCTTGCGCCCTGTGCTGATGGATGAGATGCTCTAGCAGGATTTGCATGAGCTGTCACTGTGCAGCTGGACCACCTCCCTCCCCTGCAACCTGCCCACACTAAACGCCCCAGCCAAAGGCCGCCTGTGACTTCCCGTTTTACGCCTGGAGCTGCAACTTAAAGCTTGGGGGGGAAAAAAAGGAAAAGTCGAAATGCGTTTTTTGGAAGGAGAATGTTTCAGGCAAGTGTGTGTGTGTGTGGGGGGGTTATCCTGACCTTTCCCCCCCACATTGAAGGAAGATTAAGAAAATCACAGTACTCTAAGACTTTTAGTTCATGCTCTTGTTAGTTCACTGATAGGCTCGTGTAGTACAACAAAAGGTTGCTTTTAATGCAACAGAGCAGCATGACCAAAATCAGGCAGAGGTCACCCAGCAAGTTGATTACAAGTGATCTCACTGATCTCACCACAGGGTGGGTATCAGCAAACATACTGTGCTCAGAGGGGCAAGCTATTTTTCTACCATCTGTGACATAAATTCCACTTATTCATAGCATAATTTCTTATTAAAATCCCTTCTCATCCAGCTAGAGATGAAATCTACAACCACAGCCAAGGAACATGATTGTTATGCAACTTTCTAAGGGTAAATTATATTACAGAGGAAAAACTAAACACTTACTATATTAAAAATTAGATTTTATACCAATCTAATTTTCAATTTTTGGCAGCTTGACACCTTCCACTCCAAAACTGTTCTCCATACAATACACCTTGGAATTGAAATTCAGCCAGTTTTGTGCAGAAAATGTGAGAAAATAGTTTTGTTCAAGGAGACTGGAACAGACCCATTCTGAGATGATGAATGATGCTGTAACCTCAGATTTGAATCACAGGGTGGTCAGCTCAACCTTTCATGTTTCCAAAAAACAGTAAATAAATGGTATTCCATGCAGTTTACAATGTACATCCTTCAGGTAGGACCTTCTACAGGAAGAGCTATTTGCTTTGTGACAATATCAAAGTTGCAGAGATGTTGGGTGTTCCAAACTGGGGACTAATTTATTCCTTCTGGCTAAATCAAACTAAGGGATAATTAAAATGCAATGTACGTCTGACTCATTTCCTGTAACTTTTAATTACAAAGCATTCGTTGGGGTCTTTTAAAAATGCCTAACACCTATGGCTGACTCTGCAGTCACGTTTTGTTTCCCAAAGCTTCCCGAGAAGCTTAGATGTTGAATTCCCACTGGAATTCAGTGGCAGGCAAGTGCCTCCTTGCATCCTACGTGACTGCTCGAACATGAGTTGGCTGTAAATTAAAATTACCAAATCAAGTTAAAGAATCTCTTGCCATCAAGAGGAAGAATTCTAATGCAATGGGTCTAAAACTAAAAGAAATAAAGAAAAAGAAAAAAGCTTATTATTATTTCTCTGGCTGCCACTGTTGCATGAAAAGATAAAGCTCGGTCATTCTCGTTCTCTCTGTCTTTCTCTTCACCTACTTGACTTCCAGCTACGCTTAGACAAAGTGTTTGGAAAATTGCTGTGAGTGGCAGGGTTTGACTGCATGGTGTGAATGTGTAACGGGATGGCTCTCTGCTGCTGCCAGATGTGGCAGGAGCAGCAGTCTGCCCCTTTGAAGCTGTGGCACATCAGTGGAGCCTGCTCGTGCAGATGTTCCCAGGCTGGGCCAGCAGCCAAGTGGTTACACGTACCATGGAAAGTGTATTTTAATTTGGATGCTAAAGTCTCTCTTTGAACTTAACTCCTTAGTTTAATAGCATGTCACACTAGAAGAATCCGATATGGGGAAACATGGTTGTTGATCTGCGCTGCCTCTATCTGTTTGCTTTGTTAGCATTTCATTTTAAGTGGAATATTGGGCAACTTATTACAGTTTCTTGACAGAATCTGCCCACATTAGAAGTTGGCAGAATTGCTCCGACTGTCTTCATGCAATAAAAAGAGTACACCAGCCTTTGGGAAAAGGGCTGAGTACAATTTGAATTTTTACTTCTGTCTCCTTTGGGTAGTAGTGAGAGGTAAACTGTTTTTGCTTGGATACAGATGCACTCAAGCGCTGTTACCTAGAATGTCTTTTCAATCATGGTATTGTTTTCATTCTCTGCTTTAGGGAAAATAGACAGAAAAGGAAATAATGGGACAGCAAGAAAGTGAAATGAAGTATGGGTGGGGAGCAATAGTAAAGTGAGGAAAATTCTAACAACGAAATGCCATATTAATGAGATACCCTACTTACACTGAAATCCTTACCACAGGATTTGTGTTCTTCTGTATCTTACCTGCAGCACAGACCTTGCATGAACTGGTGAAAATTCTACCTGAGCTAATACTTCTGTGATTTTTTTTCTGTGTATTGGTAAGCAATCACAGTTGTCCAGCCTTCCTATTTCAGTTGTTCAAAAATCACAGATAAAACATAGAACTACTTTGCCCAAACCTGTATTACTTGTTAGGAGCGTGCCTTTTTGGTTTTCTACCTGTTTAGTTTTTTTGGTTTGTTTTGTTTTGTCAAAATTTTCTTGGCGCTTATGTACTTTACCAGACATACAGGTGAGTTTTTTGTTTGTTTTTTACTTTTTTAAACCTAGCACTTTCATGTAGTTATTCAGCTTAGAACAATGTAAGTTAAGACTTTGACCAAGATTTTTTTAAGGGATTATCTGCATTTGCATTGAGGACAACTGCTGAATATTCAGCATCCTTCTGTCTAGATAACCACAAATATCAGAGTCTGGATTTACATACCTATCATAGATATTAAAGTGATGGTATAATATCTGAGCACCTGTTTTTAATGTATTCATCTTCACACACTGTGAGATAGAAAAATGCAATTCCCTCGGTTCTGCACTGAGAAATGTGATAGAGAACAAACAAATGTTTCCAGAAATTAATCCATATAATATATGGCTACCTTCCTGGTCCACCCTTCTGGACTATTTGAGAACTTTCAACCAGGTATTTGGACTGTTGTTCTGCTGTTGCTATGAAGAGCTTTTGTTTCCCCAGACTGCCCCGCGTTGCCATGCCTGCTATTACAGTTCTCTGATATTTTAATAGGCACTCCCTACATCTCCTTTCAAAAACTACCTTGCAGGTTGAAGGTCCTCCCTTCAAAATTAAGTTGGCTAGGATATGCATAAATGTCTCTTTCAGCTACAGATATCCTTACGGTCTTATTAAAAGAAAGACGGCTTTTGGCACTGGAGTTCATAATGAGTTTAAAAGAACAACAGTTGACTATTGCTCAAAGGACTGGCTTTTCCTTGATTTGTGGAGACTTTTTATGAACTTAAATATAATTGAACAACAGAGCGTCTTTTATTAAACGCACAGAGCAGTTCCTCAGCTAGTGCAAACTGTCAAAATACCATTGACTTCAGAGGAACTATGAAAACTTATGAGTTACAGATTAGTCTCTCCAGCAGCTCCTCAAGATACGCAGAACTTTGTATTTAATTACATTCACATCAAAAGTGCAAGAAACATAAAGGCAAAACAGAATATGCTTGTTTTCAGAATATTCAAATATATATTTCATTAAGAAAAGTCTGTTTCTTTGATGTCTTAATAAGTTGTTAATTTTTTTTTAATTTGAATACTTTGGCTTTGACCCAAAATCTTGTAGAGGTTTTATATGCTCAGAAGTATAGAGATCAAATATAGATACACTTGGAGTTGAGTTTCACGCATCACAACACACCCAAGGCATTCACGTCTTCTACTGGAAGTGCTTGCCTTGTCATGGGTTATTCTTATTTCCCAGATGACATATGGAGAGCATGCTGCTAGTACTCCGCTTAAGCATGAAGCACTGATTTGAAACAACATCAACAACAAAAATGTTACAAAGTCCTACAAGCAAAATAAAATAAAAATGCAGAAAAATGAACTAGATTCTCCAACTACCGTCTTTCTCTAGCCATGGCTTCTTTTACCTTGCTGTTTATGTTTGGATACATTTCTTCTGCATATATCAGCACATACCAGTTCAGTAATGACCTCTATCTTAACCTATTATTCCTTTGTAAAGTACCTTTGAAAGCCTAGTGTGATTTTGGTCCTGTAAGTAAGGCTTTGGACATGTTAGTTTCTGAGAGAGTGTTGATATAAACTAATATTGAAATATCATTAAATCAACACACATTCATTAACATCTAACATTAGAACTGCTCCACATCTCTCTAATTACATCACTACTTTATGTCTTAAGTGCTTACTCAGCTAAAAAAAAAAAAAAACCTCTAGTCTTTTTAAGACCTGTCACCAGCATACTATCAAAGCAAGAACAGAGATTGTACTACTTAATCCAAAATCTGTTCTACGTTACCCCTTTCGGAGTTGCCAGCTCACTCTGACATTGAGAAAAGAATTTATATTGTGCAAAAGAGAAGTGTACACACCCTTACAGTCTTTTTGGCCCTCTCCCAATATTTTCCTTACAGAAGTCCTTCCTGGGTTCAGATCTGGCCAGAAGTTGGGCAAAAATGCCCATGGATGTATGGGGAGAAGGACTGGAACCTAGAAAGAAAAGAGCTATTTCCTAGGTCTCACATTCAAACAGGCAGACAGACTGAAGTCTCATTCTGCTCAGCCCCCTCTTGATTTGTATTTGTGTCAGTAACACCATAACAATATACTGGGGTTGCTTCATAGCTGGGTTCTTTTCCTAAAAACTGTGATCATAACCTCCCTGCTGATGAGCAAGTGAAGCTGTATTAAAAAACTAAACTAGAACCAGGGCCAATACACAAAGTGACCACCTCACTCAGAAGAGCTCGCTGCTTCTGTAGTCACCGTATTTGCTACAGTTTGCAATGCCATAAAGAAAGTTTGCTAATCTAGAAGATCCAAGAGCATTTCATTCTCCTCTTTCTGTGGAAGTATAAAGAATCATTTACTAAATTTCTTTCTCCTATGGGAATCACAAGCGTTACCCTTCATCAGGCTGTGGGGCAGAGATCGTCATATAGCCTCCC